AATTACGACGTATTAAAGCACGACGTACTGTATATTAGAATCAGATCATTTTAGCTTGTCGATGATCAGTAGCAAATTTTGCAAACTTGAGATGCCCTTGGACGCAAATGATGTCCCTTATTCTGTCGGACCGCATCTTGGTCATTCTCTCTATAGACAAAAAGACACTATAAAGACACTATTCTTAAATATTAAAATTGTTTTTCTTGAAAGTCTTTTCGCGTTAAAACTGAAAACGATTCTTCGTTGCCTTTCCTTTGCATCTTTATCGTCAACGCCGAAAGTTGTTTCAAAGCTAAAGTGTCGATTAATACTAATAAATTTTAATTTAATTTATTGTGCATCTCGACATGGACCGGAATACAGACATGCGCGAGAGCCTTGAGGTAGAGTTGCTGCTTCTTCAGAATGGGAATTCACAGCTGCCATGGTTTGGGTACGTGGTGCGAATGCCTCCAGCAATTACTGCATGCCCAAACAACCGACAGAAGGCCGAGAGGACGGCAAAAATGAACGTTGTGCAAATGTATGGAAGTAGTCTGCTCTGAACTCCGGCTGTACTTTGCTGAAGCTTAGTCTCCAGCACAGGATCGAGAACGCTGGAAGTACTATCTGAGGGATCTGCCTCCGCGACCCGAAAGGAGAAGCTGTCATGAACGATGAAGCTGAAGAACATATTTATTTTTTATTTTAGATTTTGATGTCAATTTTAATTATTACCATTACGTCAAGAATAGAAAGGCAACATTTACTACTTTAGTTATAGGGTAAACCGGTGGTAGTGCATATCAGTATTCCTGCATGCATTAATATGAAATTCTTTGTTATACGTGAAGGAGACTAAGATTGTTTAGTCTAAATGGTGTATTCTGTAACACCGTACATAAGGTAAAATGTCTTTGAGAGCCATCGTGGATTTTTTATTAATAAACGAACGACGGAAAATGTTTCGAATTTATTACTTAATTGCATTTTAAATTTTTTAAGTGACGAATTCTGGAGTCTAATGTCGCCAGTGTATTTTTGGCTTTACATGCGGAATGTAGTAAGGTCGAATCCAGGCTTAGTAGCAATACTTAAATGATTGCAGAGTATTAAACACTACATGTACTACTTCTGCTATGTTGAGACTGCATTTCAAACTGTTTTCACCTAGCTGAAGGCTTCTTAAAACCGATTCAACGACTTGTCTTGAAGTTGCTCTACTGCAGAGACTGATATCATTAGTCTATATTTTGTGAGTAAACTAATTCCGTTTTTTCAGCAATTACTAAGCGCAAGTTGGCAATGGAATCTGCGGACTTAGTGAAAGCTATAAACAGGTATGTGAGTTGCGTTGTTTCCTGCTTGAACCGTATGATAAGTTTTTCTTTATTTGCAGTTTTGATCTGAATGTTCTGAATCTCGAGAAAGTCGAAATCTTACTCAGGATGTTGCCAACTCCGGAAGAAGTAATTCAATTTAACATCATAATATTAGTTGGAAGTATACATGTATAATTATTTCTACTTATGTTGTGCATATATTTCATTAGCTATTGTCCTGATATTCTGTAATGTTTTACACGAAAGTTCTTGTATGATCTGGAATATATATCGCTAGAGATAATCAGTGGATAGTATGACTTTGCACATTGAAATGATTAACCGTAGCAGGAATGACAGCAGCTTTATTATCACACAGTACTACAATGACAGCTCAGCGTTGCATGACAATTGTCTGTACATATGAACATGCAGTGCACGTCGTTATCCATAGCGCTTTGCCCATTGTCACTTAGATCCCTTGGATCGGCCGGCAGTCGGCGATGAATTGCACTGGTCATAATACGCCCATTGTTCGCGGTTTTCCACTTTCTCCTTCAAGCGGGATCTTTTTGACTTCTGATGTAGTCTTCCCACTGGTGAGGTGAGCGATCAAGTTTCAGGACCGTCAGTCTGTGAGGATGCCAGTCTACTGCAAAACTCTGATCATCTCCCGTCGGTGAGTCAGGCTACGTTCCCGGTCCACTGCAGCTCTTTGTTCTGCTTTCGAAGGTAACATCCTTCACTCCCGTCCGCTGCCTGATTCTCGTATTGGAGATGTGGTCGCCACATGAAGTTCCCAACATTCTTTTTTCCATGGCTCATTCGATGGTAGACAACTGGCGCACTTCGACCTTGGTGGGTGATCACACCCATAACATTGTCAGCAGGACGGTAGAATTGGAGGTTGGCACATTTCTTTTATAATATTGTCGAAGACGTCCTTTGCAAAATACAGCAGCGATTACTCAAACATTATTACACTGCTAAAAATTTCAAAGAAATCGTTGTTCATGAGTTTTTTGTTTTGAGGTGAAAGCGTACAGAGAATACGAAGCATTTCAAAAACCGCTGAAAGCGTTGTGCGATGAAGACCGGTTTATGATAGAGGCATGGCAAAGAAATTTATGTAATTTATATGCAGAATTAATTTTCAACTCTTTCAGTTATGCAAAGCGGAGAGGATTGGCCAAAAGCTACAAATTATGAGTTTTATGGGGAACTTTTCTGACACCGTTTCGAAACTCGACCCGTTGTTCAAGACCGTAATGACGGTTTCCAAATCTCTGAAGGGAGCACGCAAGTTCAGGAAGATCTTGGAAATCATTCTTGCCTACGGTAATTACATGAACAGCGTCGCACGTGGCGGCGTTTACGGCTTCCGGTTACAATCCCTTGACTCGGTAGGCATTCTCATGTTGATAAATCGTTTTTGCGTACCGTAGTTTATTAAATCTATTTGCCTTACAGCTGCCATTCCTTAAGTCGACGTCGAATAAGTCGATCACTTTGATGCACGTCCTTGCTCAGACTGTACGCGACAAGTTTCCTGAACTTCTGAATTTCAGCGACGAGTTTGCGGCGATCGACAAAGCCTCAGCGCGTAGGCGGTTATTTTAAAGTCGTTAATAATCGTTCGTGTCGTACCCTTTTTTTTCAGTCTCCCTGGAATCGTTGACAGCAGACGTAGCCGAACTGGAGAAGGGCTATGAATTAACCAAGAAGGAATGCGCTCTTCGCGGTGAATCCGTACAAGTTCTTGTTCAGTTCCTGGCCAAAGCTGAGACCGACATGAAGAACATACGCTCTGCTGCAACCACTGCTACGGTAATGATAAGAACGTTTGCATGAAAATTTTTTTATGATCAGTGACTTCGAGCCTTGGAACATGAAGGTGATTTTCGTCTGAAGTAACTGATATACAGAAAGCAGTTCGAATAAGATGGTTCAATTCATTTTACCACTGAAGCTTTACAATGCCTCGTTCACATTCAAGCAGTTCTTTATGACTGATGAAGTGCTCATCCAAGTCTGTAATCCATCGGTTAATGTCTTTTATAACTGGCTTGTTTACTCCCCTAGAGGTCTGTAGCTACCATAACGTCGGTATTTAAGGAACTTGTTTTTACGTGGGCTTTTAGGTCTTTACGTCCAAGAAATCGGTAGGGATAGTTCATGTACTCTATTCCGCTATACAATGACCTGAAGAATACTTCGTATTATATACAGAATTATGAGACCTTTTACACAACTTGAGAAGTGCATCGAAGCATTTACGAAAATTGTTCGGTACGTAGATTGATTTTTGTCTTTTGAAATAAAAAATAATGTACAAAATTGCATGCATAAATTCTATAAATATTGAATGGAAAATCAGAAATGCCCAAAAGCGATTTTCTTATTGGTCTCTATTTTTTCTGTAGAATTTGGTTGATATCATTTCAATATTAGTTAAAAATAGGGGAAAAATGTAAATGATCACTATTATCATCCGTCGTTCAATTAAAGTATCGCGAAGCATGTTGCTTCAAACCAAAGAATTCAGCTGCCTCGGTTCCATAATATAAGATAATGCGGAAATCGACAGCGAGGTAAGAAATCGGTTGAAAAAGCTTGCCTCAAATGGAGAGAATTGAGCGGAGAACGGTGCGACAAGAACAGCCCATCATACTGAAAGAGAAGATGCGCAGATTGACGATAAGACCAGTGCTTCTGTACGAGCCGGAATGTTTGCCCTCCTTGAAGAGACATGAGCAACCGCTGATTTCGGTAGAAATGCAAATGCTCAGACGGATGTGTGGTGTCAGCAGAAAGGATCACGTCCGAAATGGCGTCAGAAGTGGCATGATGGACATAGTTATACTTTCAGAGAAGCTTATCGAAGCAGGCTCCGATGGTTCAGTCATATCAGAAGAAGTCCCATCTAGTACATTGGTAACGTGACGAGGGCTAAGCAGTGTTACTCTCCGAAAATAAAAGAAGGGGAAGACGGAACGAAATGTGGTGCGGTGTCGTGAAGAACGATTTGAAGCTGCAAGAAATCACTGAACATCTGACTAACGGCGGAAAAATGTGGAAGAGGTTGACCCAATTAGCTGACCTCGGAAACATGCTAGGAAAAGAAGTATTGTCATCCTCCGTTTGGTGGAATAATAACACGAGTTTGTAACCATTCAAAGTTACTACGCTAACAGTCCAAAGTGCACAAAAGTAGCTCATCTTACGCGTTCCCTGAATCCATCTGTTTAACACTGTTGTCATCCTCCATTTAAAGGGCTGTCTACCATTTCGAAAACTTTAAATGATTTCTTACGAGAAATGTACGGATATTTGTCGTAATCCTTTCCTCTAGATGTTTGATTATAAAGGTTACCGTTTTCACTCAACGGAAATTCAACTATAACCATGAATGCTGTTTCATTCTCAGTTAGCAAAACCGCATTCCAGACATTTCGCTATCCACGACCGGTCTTAACGCTTAAATTAAGTACATTATGAGATACCTCGCTATGTCAGTGATCCAAGACGTTGATCATTGTACGCTCTCAGTGACAGGAATACCGGAAGTAGATTATCAAGAACATGTAAAAAACGGCTCAATGGTATTTTCAAACTTTTCCTACTCAAACTGCGCACAGAATGACCTCATTGATTAAATATATTTCATTTTTTCTCTCGATCAGCATTGTTGCTTTAACACGAGTTAATGGCGTTATGACGCATTTTTTTCTTCTAGATGACTAGGTAACCCTTTTTTGTCCTTTTTGATTTTGAATTTTGTTCTTTGATGAAACTTCAGACTAGCAGTAATATTCTTTTAGATCATGGCGATCAGGTTTGTGTAGTTTTTTCGATTTCCTGGCTCCTCAAGAAATCCAGCATAGAATGGGTGTACGCTGAATCGGAAATCTTTTCGAAATCCATTAACCTTAGGCATAGAGGTAGCTTATATTCGTTCTTTATCTGGATTACTCGTCGTAGCACCTGAAAATAGTTCATCTTGCTGAATACACTTTTAAATCCTGCGCGCTACGATGACTGCACAGCGTCCAGTTTTTCTTAAAGTCTGTTGCCTGTACCTTTGTGAACATCTTGTAGATCACTGATTACAAAGTGGTGGGCTTGTAGTTTTTCTGATCTTCTAGGTCTCCCTTTGTGTAGAATAGGCTCACAAATGCGGCACTCCACTCTTCATTTCCTGCAGATAGTGTAACGTAAGTTCTTCACGTCCTGATTCCAGTTGTTCCGCTCTAATGCCGTTCTCGTCAGAAGGTCCCTATTCCTGTCATCTCTTTTATTGCATGTCTCACTTCTGGCAAGATATCCGGAATTTCTCAGCTTAAGTGGTATCTTCGGATTGTGATAGTGTTACCGTTTTAACCTTTGTTCAGTTTTATGTTGAATCTTGCCTTCTCTTGTGTTGCTGATCACAGTCCCTTGTTGTACTTGAAAACTGAAAATTATTGTTTTCTGACCGTAGATGGAGTAATTCATTCATGCATTGGTGGTTATGCCGAAAAATAGCGTATAAACGGTTTACTTATATACAACGCAAAAGATACTGCGGTCAGTCCGGTTACCAATACCGACTTAATGGCCCGTGTCTTATGGGTCTTTTACAAGGCAGGTTGGCGGTGAAGGTTTGTC